TCTCATGGCCTCGCTTTTTTTTCTTTTTGCCTCTAAAATGGGACAATAATACTCACCTTAAAGCACATTTAGAGGTCGGCATGCATTGGTATATGGAAAATACCTGTCATAAAGTAGGCATGCCATATAAACTTGCCCATATTTCACAGACTGGATCATAGCTATCTGTGTTCATATCTTACCCAAGGGCTACCTCCCTCTCCTCCAGGCAGAGACTTCTCATAATTCTTTCCTGCTTCCAGATGAGCTATTTCAAATCCTAAAAGATGATGCTGTGAAAGTGCCACACTCAATATGCCAGCAAATTTGGATAACTCAGCAGTGACCGCAGGACTGGAGAAGGTCAGTTTTCATTCCAATCCCAAAGAACAGCAATGCCAAAGAATGTTCAAACTACCACAATGTTCAAATTACACTCATCTCACATGCTAGCAAAGTAATGCTCAAAGTTCTCCAAGCGCAGCTTCAACAGTATGTGACCTGAGAACTTCCAGATGCCCAAGCTAGATTTAGAAAAGACAGAGGAACCTGAGATCAAATTGCCAACATCCGTTGTATCGTAGAAAAAGCAACAGAATTCCAGAAGAACATCTACTTCTGCGTCATTGACTACTCTAATGCCTTTGATGGTGTGGATCACAACAAACTGTGGAAAATTCTTCAAGAGATGGGAATACCAGACCATATTACCTGCCTCCTGAGAAATCTGTATGCAGGTCAAGAAGCAACAGTTAGAACTGGACATGGAACAACAGACTGGTTCAAAATTGGGAAAGGAGTATGTAAAGGGTATATATTGTCACCCTGCTTATTTAACTTATATGCAGAGTACATCATGAAAAATGCTGAACTGAATGAAACACAAGCTGGAATCAAGATTGCAGGGAGAAATATCAATAACCTCAGATATGCAGATGATACCACCCTTATGGCCAAAAGCAAAGAGGAACTAAAGAGCCTCTTGACGAAAGTGAAAGAGGAGAGTGGAAAAAGCTGGCTTAAAACTCAACATTCAGAAAGCTAAGATCATGGCATCCAGTCCCGTCACTTCATGGCACATAGATGGGGAAACAACGGAAACAGTGAGAGACTTTATTTCCTTGGGCTCCAAAATCACTGCAGATGGTGACTGCAGCCATGAAATTAAAAGATGCTTGCTCTTTGGAAGAAAAGCTATGACCAACCTAGACAGCATATTAAAAAGTAGAGACATTACTATGCTGACAAAGGTCCATCTAGTCAAAGCTATGGTTTTCCTAACAATAGTCATGTATGGATGTGAGAGTTGGACCATAAAGAAGGCTGAGCACTGAAGAATTAATGCTTTTGAACTGTAGTGTTGGAGAAAACTCTCGAGAGTCCCTTGACTGCAAGGAGATCAAACCAGTCAATCCTAAAGGAAAGCAACCCTGAAATTCTTCGGAAGGACTGATGCTGACGCTTAAACTCCAATACTTTGGCCACCTGATGCGAAGAACTGACTCACTGGAAAGACCCTAATGCTGGGAAGGATTGAAGGCAGGAGGAGAAAGGGACGACAGAGGATGAGTTGGTTGGATGGCATCACTGACTCGATGGACACGAGTTTGAGCAAGCTTCGGGAGTTGGTGATGGACATGGAGGCCTGACGTGCTGCAGTCCACGGGGTCGCAAAGAGTCGGACACGACTGAGCAACTGAACTGAAGTACTTACTAGTATAGTGCCTATTGGCACAAAACAGGCAAGATAAGTACATGAAAGAAAGTATGAAAGCATGAGTCACTGGCCGCCGCTTACCCTCCTGGGTCGAGAAGCTAAAACTGCCTCAACCAAACAGAAAGAGACCGAGGCCTTGTCCGGACCAATCGAAGCCCGTCCTCTGGGGGCCCGCCCCATTTCGAACCCTAGTACCTGGTCTCAGAATTGACCAATCAGCGTTGAATCCCGCCCCAATGTTGAAACTGCCGCTTCTGATGCGAAGTAACGCTCCCAGGAGCGTCCCGGCTCCGCCCCACGTCTGGCCAATCAGGGCGCCCGAATCAGGCTCCGCCCCCATTTGGTGACGCGTTGGGTGGGCCTGGCGGAACTCTAGGCAGCGCTGGAAGCGGCAGGCAGCTTGATTCCCCGACTTCCCAGCGGTGAGTGCGGAAGTGGCGGGCCCCCGGGTTGGAGAGGAGTGGTTCGACGGATTGTTCCACGTGCAGTTCCACGGAGCGTCCGGGTCCCGCGATGGGAAAGAAGAGGGAGGCCGAGTCTCCCATTCCCGGGGGGGACGTCCCGCCCCTGCGTTCCGCTGCACTGCCGCTGCCCCAGTGTGTGTCTCTTTTGAACGTTGCCTTCCCGTCACCTTGGCGCAGCTTTGACTTTCCAGAGCGCCATCAGAGCCGGAGGTTTTCTCTCTTTAACGATATGAGAGAACGGAGGCCCAAAGTCTTTCAGTCAGATGGGGGCTGGAACCGGGATCAGGCTGTCTTCCCCACTTGTTTGCACTTCCCACCCCTGTACTCGCATCTCCACTGTCCTCCCTTCCCTGCGTGGGTGTATGTGAGAGGGCGGGTCTCTCTGCTTTAGCCCTTGCAGCTGGGCCTTGAGGAGGGGGCCCGGATATGGGTGGTCCACAGGTGAGGAGTGTGGGTGGAAGGACTGGGGTCAGGGCAGGGTTTCTGAGAGCAGGGTGTCTGACTGGACCCAGTGTTAGAAAAGGATCATGTGTACTGGAGGAGACTGAATTTCTAGTTGGAGGAATCTGGGCTTGGAGCTCAAGAGAGAAGATGAAGCCTCTTCCCCTAAGGGCAGAAATCTCTTCCAGAGGCATCAGTGTGTCCTTGAGCCCAGATTCCTGGGGGGCCAAAGGCTGGAGAATGAGGAGGTGGCTTCCTAGGCCCCCCTCCACATTGTTTGGGGTAAGGTTATCATAACCATGGACCCTGGAGCCAGATTTGGGTTCAAATCCTAGCTATGCCACTACAAGCAGTGTCACTTGGGGCTAGTATTTTAATTTCTCTGAACTTCTTCATTTGTTTAAAAAAACAGAGAAGGGAGGGCAGGAGAGGACGAGTCCCTTCAGAAATTTAATTTGTGTTGAATTTGAAAGTTATAATGTTTTACATTTGTAGACTTGCCCTAATTGTCCACTACAAATTAAGGTGTTGTTCAGTCGCTCATTCATGTCCAACTCTCTGTGACCCCATGGACTGCAGCACGCTAGGTTTTCCTGTCCTTCACCATCTCCCAAGGTTTGCTCAAACTCATGTCCATAGAGTCGGTAATGCCATCCAACCATCTTATCCTTCTCCTGCCTTCAGTCTTTCCAAGCATCAGGGCCTTTTCCAGTGAGTCGGCTCTTCGCATCAGGTGGCCAAAGTATTGGAGCTTCAGCATCAGTCCTTCCAATGAATATTCAGGGTTGATTTCTACAAATTAAACTACTCATAATTTCATAGTTGAGGTTGTTAAAGGGGAGAGATTAATCTCTTTTGACATGTCAGGAAACATGCTCTGGCTAGTTTAACAATAAGCATTTATTGAGTGCTCATTGTGTGTGCCAGGTATTATACTAAGGTTTTTGTTTTTGTTTTTGTTTTTTAGTTGGAGGCTAATTACTTTACAATATTGTAGTGGTTTTTGTCATACATTGACATGAATCAGCCATGGATATACATGTATTCCCCATCCCGATCCCCCCTCCCACCTCCCTCTCCACCCGATCCCTCTGGGTCTTCCCAGTGCACCAGGTCTGAGCACTTGTCTCATGCATCCAACCTGGGCTGGTGATCTGTTTCACCCTAGATAATATACATGTTTCGATGCTGTTCTCTTGAAACATCCCACCCTCGCCTTCTCCCACAGAGTCCAAAAGTCTGTTCTATACATCTGTGTCTCTTTTTCTGTTTTGCATATAGGGTTATCATTACCATCTTTCTAAATTCCATATATATGTGTTAGTATACTGTAATGGTCTTTATCTTTCTGGCTTACTTCACTCTGTATAATGGTCTCCAGTTTCATCCATCTCATTAGAACTGATTCAAATGAATTCTTTTTAATGGCTGAGTAATATTCCATGGTGTATATGAACCACAGCTTCCTCATCCATTCGTCTGCTGATGGACATCTAGGTTGCTTCCATATCCTGTCTGTGATAAACAGTGCTGCGATGAACATTGGGGTGCACGTGTCTCTTTCAGATCTGGTTTCCTCGGTGTGTATGCCCAGAAGTGGGATTGCTAGGTCATATGGCAGTTCTATTTCCAGTTTTTTAAGAAATCTCCACACTGTTCTCCATAGCGGCTGTACTAGTTTGCATTCCCACCAACAGTGTAAGAGGGTTCCCTTTTTTCCACACCCTCTCCAGCATTTATTGCTTGTAGACTTTTGGATAGCAGCCATCCTGACTGGAGTGTAATGGTACCTCATTGTGGTTTTGATTTGCATTTCTCTGATAATGAGTGATGCTGAGCATCTTTTCATGTGTTTTTTAGCCATCTGTATGTCTTCCTTGGTTCTTTGGCCCATTTTTTGATTGGGTCATTTATTTTTCTGGAGTTGAGCTGGAGGAGTTGCTTGTATATTTTTGAGATTAATCCTAGGTTTTTTTTTTTTAATTAAAAAATATTTTGGCGGGTCTGACTGTGGCATCCTATTTCTCTGACCAGGGATCGAACCCATCCGTGCCCCCTTGCATTGGAAGTGTGGAGTCTTAACCACTGGACCACCAGATATAATATGCATTACCTCCTTTAGTCCTTACAACAGTTTTATGAGGTTGATGCCATTATCATCTGTTTGGCAGATGAGGAAACTGAGGCACAGAGAGGTTAATTAACTTGCCTGAGGTTTCCCAGTTAGGGAATATCAGAGTGGGGATTTGACTCTCTGGCTCTGAAGGGCAGCCTCCTCATTGCTGTCATGCTCTCTGTCTTGGCTTCAGGTAGGAGAACCCAGCCCCGAGGGCAGTCTGTGGTCCAGGAGTCAGTGACATCTGTTGGGGAAAGCCCAGGATGGTGGAGACCAGGGACCTAGTGCAGCTGCGGCAGCTCAACCTGGAGCTCCTGAGGCAACTGTGGGTCGGGCAGGATGCTGTGCGGCGGTCCGTGGCCAAGGCAGCCTCAGAGGTAAGCACCTTGGCCAAGTCCCTGGGGTGAGAGAGGGGCTGCCTAACCCTCAGGCCAGAATCAAGGCCTTCCAGGTCCTCTTACGCAGTGCGCCCATTTTACTGATGATGAGAAAACTGAGTGAGGCCCAGCGTGGGAAGGTATGGCAGAGGCTGAGCAAGGATGAGGAGTTGGCCTTCATGCCTAATGCAGGCCAGCTGGGTGGATGGCTGCTGACCCAGCCTCTGTTCCAGTCAAGCCTGGGCTCAAGCAGCAGCCATGACTCAGAGATGCCATCATCCCAAGAGATGTCCTCAGTTTCCTCGAGAGCCTCCTGCCCACAAGATGCCCGCCCTGGTGACCCTTGTGATAGCTACTGGCCTGGCGAAGCCAGCTCTGGGATGAACACTCTCCCACCTGCCAAATGCCTACACCAGGAGTCCCCGGGCCCTCCGAGGCCCCATTCAGCTCCCTTACTGGCCATCTCAGACTCAAGTGACTCAGAGCTTTCAGCAGAGCTGGACAGTCCAGGAACCCAGGAGGCCCAGGCCCTGAGGTCCATCTTGGCTCAACAGGGCAAGTTGTCTAAGGTAATGTGGGAGAGTGGGGCAGCCATTGATGGGGCTTCCTCGAACCTCAATTTCCCCTCTGACAGATGCACTCACAGGCAACCTCCCTTCCAGGGTGAGAGACTCTTGGGAGGTGCTCTGAGTCGTGTCCTGCTTGGCCTGAGTGCTTGATAAGTTGTGGCCGTTAGTTTTTCAGAGAGCACTTTGGGAAGAAGGTGACCAGCCCCATTGTGCAGATGGGAAGACCGAGGTTCAGAGGACAGACTTGTTCACAGTCACATGTGGTGGGGGGAGTGGGGGGGTCAAACTCTTGTCCTCCAGCCCCCAAGTCCTCAGCTGAGCCCTGGGGCCTACGTCAGGGTGTAAGTTAAAAGACATAGCCCCTTTCCTCCCGTCAAGGTGGGGCCTCCTTTGGGCTGGGCCTGCTAGCACAACCTTGCCCCTCTTTGCCTCCCTCCTCAGCCAAGAGTGACCAACAAGGAGTCTCCAGTGCCTGAGAAGAGCTGGCGCCTGAGACCCTACCTGGGCTATGACTGGATTGCAGGTGTGGCCCTCCCTAGGGCCTAGAGATTGGGGGTGGGGGGCCCTAGCTTGCTTGTGCACCTGCCTGAGCCCCCACCAGGTGGGAGAATCTTCAGTACCACGTCTTCTGCCTCGGCCCTTGGCACAGTGAAAAGCACAGAGACAGTGTTCGCCTAGTGTTTGTTGAATAAATGAGAGCTGCCTTATTTTTTTTGGCATTTATTGTGTGCCAGGCCCTGGGAAACTGTATGTGTATCATCTCTTTACGTTTTCCCCGACTCCCCCAGCAACCTCAGTTGCCTCCTGGATGAATGGCCTCTGGCCTCTTTCCAACCCCATTATCATCCATTTTTGACTCAACAGCCAGAATGGATTTTGAAATCTGGGCATCGGATCATGTCATTCAGAATACTTGGCACTTAGTGTGTACGCTAAGTCACTTCAGTTGTGTCTCACTCTTTGCGGCCCCATGTAGCCCGCCAGGCTCCTCTGTGCATGGGATTCGCCAGGCAAGAATATTGGAATGGGTTGCCATGCCCTCCTCCAGGGGATCTTCCCAACCCAGTGATCAAATCCAGGTCTTTACGTCTCTTGCATTGGGCAGGTGGATTCTTTACCACTAGCACCACCTAGGAAGCTCGCACTTAGAGTAAAATCCAAAATCCTTATCTAGACTTCTGAGGTATGATCTGGCTCGGTGACATAACCTCTGACCATCTATCTTCTGACTCTTCGCTCCAGCCTCGTTGGCCTCCTTGCTGATCCTTGAACCAGCTGTGTGCTCATGGCCACCTGCCTTTGCACTTGCTGTTTGCTTTGCTTTGGCGGTGTTGTGCAGCACGCGGGATCTTAGTTCCCCAACCAGGGATTGAACCCATGCCCCCTGCATTGGAAGCATGGAGCCTTAACCACTGGACTGCTCTGCAAGTTCCTCTTCCCTTTGCTTTGAATGCACTTCCCCAGATTCACACCTGCTGGTTCCCTTTCATCACTGAGCACTCAGTTCAAATGGCAGGCGCCTTGCACGAGCACAAGGTCGTAGGACCACTGCCTCTGCATCCTTGCCTGTTGCATCAGCTACTGTTGTGTTCTTCATTCATTCATTCTCAGAAATCATCTTGTTTGCTTGTTTCTTGTCTGGCTCATGAGCTCCGTTGGAGCAAGGGCCTGGCTGTCTTTTCGTTGCTGTGTTCTGTGAACCTAGAATAGGGCCTGGCACACCACAGGTCCTTAGCCAACACTGGTTGAAGGAGTGAGTGGAGCTTGGGCTGTTGGATCCTCACTTTCATGAAGGAGGAAACTGACGCATGGAGAGGCTGAGTTCCTGCCAAGGCAGGGGCTCTGTGTGGCTGCTGGGCCCCTGTGGAGGTGGGGACATAGTCCCTGTCTGCCAGCTCACTGCCTTGCTTCTTGTCTCTGGGAAAGCGGAGGCGCCTGCCCGTTCCTGCCCTGTGTCCGTGTGCACCTCTCTCCTCCTTTCTGAGCCTGTCTGTGCATTTGTGTGCTTGGCCCCATTCCTTCTTGATTCCCAAAGCTCTTGCTTCCTGTAATTCTCTCCTGTCCTCCCTCCACCATGATTCTGCTCCGTCAGCATATGAACACTGGGAAGTATTAATGAGAACTGATTTCATGGAGCGCTTGTCCTGTGCTGGGCCCTGTCCCAAGAGCTTTCCTACCATTAACTTCTTGACTCTTCACAATCATCTGATCAGGTGGGTAGTATTACTGTCCCCATTGACAGATGAGAAGGCTGAGGGCCAAGAGACTGAAAAGCTTAGCAAAGTCTCACATCCGGTTGGGGTAAAGCTGGGAGTATTAATGAGAACTGATTAAGTCTGTGACTTCCCCTCCTGTTTCTAGTTAACACCCGTGTTCTCTGCTTTTCTTTATCATGAAACTCTAAAGGCCATCTTGATTCTCCATCTCCAGTTTCTCTCCCTGACTTTTTCTTAAAATCAGGCTTTAGTCCTTGACACCACCCCAGGTTAGCTGTGACCACTGTGTTACCAGCTCCCAGCTGAGTTCTCAGTCCACACACTTTTTGGCCCCTGAGTAGCATAGACACAGCGGCCACTCCCCCTTTCCTCCCTGAAGCTCTTTCTTCCCTTGGCTTCCAAAGCTGGGCACCCCCCTAGCTCTTCCCCACTTCCCTGGCAGCTCCATCCAGTTTCCTCTGCCAGATCTGCTTCCTTGTTCCAACCTCCAAACTCCCTAGGCCCCATCAGTGTTAAGACTCTCCTCACCCTCTTCTCACCCACTTAACCCATGCTGCTCCTCTGAATTCCAGACTTGTGTATCTGACTTTCTTCTCTGCCTGGCTCACTAGGTGTCCTGGACTAATCTCAGGTCCAAAATCAAAGTCCTGACTTCCACAGCTTTTGGTCCACCCTCCCGCAGTGTTTCCTATGTCTGTTGGCGGCAGCTCTGTTCATGGTGCTAATGGCCATAATCTGGAGATAAGCCTTGATTTTTCCTCTCCTTTCCATACATACATCCTGGTAGCCCTGCCTTCAACATATTTCTAGAATTCACCGTCTTATCTCCACCAGGATGCCTGCAGTAGTCCCCTAACTGCTATGCCTGCTTCCTCTCACCTTGCTGCAGCAAGAAGAGGAGTACTCTAAAAGCACATGGCTGATGTGATCGTATCACTCCTTGTCCCCAAACCCATCAGCGGTTTCCCAGTCACATCTCCTCCACTCTCACCGCTCTGCCCATTTCACCTCCTGAGTGTAACTCCAGTGTACCAGCACACACCTGCCCCAGGGCCTTTGCATGTGCTCTTCTGTCTGCCTGGGATGTCCCCATGGCTCCCTCCCTCCCTCATCAGGTCTCTACTCAGGTGTCACGTCCTCAGGGAAGCTCCCTCTGGCCCCTCTGCCCTCCAAGCTCAGTTTCCTGACTCTCTTTCTCTCTTACTTCCTGATAGGTGTCACCTTTCCCCATTGTATCCCAGGTTTCTTTAGCGACTGGTTTGTGGCCACATTAGAATGTAAGCCTCAAAAGGGCGGGGGCTTTGTCTAGGTTGCTGTTCTTTCCCCAGCACATGAGACAGTGTCTGGCTTGTAGCAGGCACTCTATAGATACTTTTTGCACAGACGATTGGGTATGCATGTGTCTCGTGAGTTGAGGGACCCCTCCAGATCTGTACGTGACTCAGTGGCCTGGGGTGCCAGTGCTGAGCACCCCCTGAGTCTTGGCCACACAGCAGCTCCTTGTGCGTTGTCCCCCCAGGGTCCCTGGACAACACCTTTCCTGTCACCAGCAAGCCTGAGGCCTTCTTCTCTAAGCTGCAGAAGTTCCGGGAAGCCAACAAGGAGGAGTGTATTTGCAGTGACCCTGAGTAAGCAGGGGCAGGCACACAGTGGGCAGGGAGGCTCAGGCCGGCTTGCCCTCTCGCCCTGTCCTGCTCACCCTCTCGCCCTCACAGACCCCGGTTCCTAGGCCTGCAGGAAGGTGATGCTGTGGAGGGGAACCACGAATGTGAGTGTAAACACTTGGTTACCCCAGAGCCCAGCCAAGGCCTGGGGGCCTGGGGAGGCAGCTGAGTGTTGAGGACTCAGGCAGGGAGCCTGGTGTCTCAACAGGGGGTGGTGAGCCCTGGGTAGGGGGTGGGGGTGAGCTGAGGCCTGGCCTCATGGGGAGTGGGGCCAGCCCTGTGCACTCACTGCCAGCCTTCCCAGCTGCCTAGTTTCCCACATACCCCCCACCCCCTTCCTCTCCTCTCTGCATGTGGGTAATCTGAGGTGGGGGGGTTCCGGCTCAGTTACGTGAGCATCTGAGTCTATATTGTGGGTTTGTATGTGCAGCATACAGTGTTTGTATCCATGTATGTACCTGTGTGTGTGAGGCGTGTTCATGTGGACATACATGTGTGTGCACTGCGTGTATGTGATTACAAGTATAAACACACCGTATATGTCCACAAATGTGACTATATGTAGTAGTAGTGCTCTGTGTTTGCACAGATGACATTTTAATGTATGAAGATGCCAGCATGTGTGCACGTGTGTGTCATGCTTGAGTAGAAAGTGGTGCTCGGCGTGGTTCTGTGTGAGCACGTGTATGTGTGCACGCTTCGTGTACACGTGGGCAGGTCTGTGGATGTGGCCACTGGGGCTGTGCAGGGGTTGGTGGGCCTCTTGGAGTCCAGGGGGTCTAGGTTCCCCAGCTGAGGAGGGACTTCTGCTCCTCTCGGGTCTCACAGGTGTGTACTGTTACCGTGTCAACCGGCGCCTGTTTCTGGTACCTGCGGACCCTGGCACCCCCTGCCGCCTGTGCAGGAAGCCACGGGACCAGCGGGGTGCAGGGACCCTGGCGGAGCCAGTGCAGGTCAGGTGAGTGGCCCGAGTGGGCAGGACACCCATAGGAGTCACAGGGACAGCGGCAGAGGGGAGCAGAGCCTGGGGCCCGCGGTCTCGAGGGGGTACAGGTTGGGCCATTGCAGCCTGGAGAGACCTGCAGGAATGCCTGCACTGTCACCGCCCCCAGGGTGAGCCTCCCACTGTCCGTCCTGGATCCCCCGCACCGGCACCGCATCCACCGGCGGAAGAGCTTTGATGCCTCTGACACGCTGGCGCTGCCACGGGTGAGGATGGGACTGGGGCTGCCTCCTGTCTGGCCCAGGTCCTCAGATGTGATCCTGAGGCCCAGAGAGGGCCAGGGACTGTCCTAGAGCCACACAGCGAGGCTGGGCTAATGGACCCCAGTCTCTGGAGTTCAGACTGGGCCACTCACATCACCTGTGCTGTACCTGTTTCCTGAGGGAGGCCAGGCTCCCCACCCACCCCCTGTCTGCCCATGAGCTGGCATAATGCAGAAGGGTCTGATTTCTCATGCTCTTGTGTGCTGTGTGCACAGTCCTCAGGGGGTTTATCTTGTGGGGTCAAGCAACAGAGAGTGCAGTGGTGGTGGTTTAGTCCGATACTTGCGACCCCATGGGCTGTAGCCTGCCAGGCTCCTCTGTCCATGGGATTCTCCAGGCAAGAATACTGGAGTGGGTTGCCATTTCCTCCTCCAGAGAGTGCAGGTCCTGCTGTTATTCCAGTTTACAGATGAGGAGACTGAGGCAGAGGGGAGGTGCCTTGTCTGTGGTCAGCCAGGTAGAACTTGGGGTCTTATACTTCCACAATGCCTCCCCCATAGAGCCACCCTTTGGGTCTCCTGGGTAGGACAGGGGTCAGTGGGGAACCCACTCATTCCCAGTTGAGGCCGGGGATGCTGGGGTGGAAGTGAGGAGAAGGAGTACTGAGGAAAGTCAGTTTGCTCGTCTGTAAAATGGGTCCAGTGTACTGTCCTCAGGCTTATAGGGTGGGCGGGGGCCAGGTCCGTGAGTCAGTACTTGTCAGGGGCCTGGAGCAGAGCCTGACACACAGGATGTGCCAGGTCCATCAGCATCCATGGCCTTCCCTCCGCCCATCTGTAGTCTGGGTCCTCAGGATTAGGAAAGGGAGGCCTGGGGGAACAGTGGTGGACACAGACCTCTGCCCTGGGGGAGCCTCAGTCGTGGGGGACACTGTGATTGTTTGGGGGGGGTCCCTTCACCTTCATGGGGGACACAGCCCTGTCCTAGAGGAGACTGCCAGTCCCGGAGGATAGTGCAGCCCCTCCCTGGGTTTGCCTGGTTAGTGGGGAGCCCAGCCCCCAGCCAGGTGCCTTAAACCCTTGCTCCCCACAGCACTGCCTGCTGGGCTGGGACATTATCCCTCCGAAGTCAGAGGAAAGCTCAGCCCCCAAGAGCCTGGACCTCTGGTCCAGTGTCTCCCCTGAGGCGCACCATCAGAAGCTATCAGCCACCGGCTCTCCTAACCTGGTACGTCCAGGGTGCCCTGGGAGGGGCAGACACCTTGGAGCAGCGTGGGGACTGCAGAGTCTCTGGGGGAGGGATTGGGGTTTGGGGGGTCAGAACCTGGAAGTCTCTCTCTGTGGGCTCCCATCTCCCTGGCCCTGACCCCCGGCACCTCTCCAGTCTCTATTGCTCCCCACTGGCTACCCTGCCATGCCCTGGAAGCTGACCCCAACTCTGAGATCCAGAAGGGGATGAGGCTGGATGTGGGGGGACCCATCCCAAAGAGGCCACCTCTGACATCTTTCTCTTCATTCCCTAGGCTGTGCCAGTGCGGGTCCCACTCCCCACCCCGATCTGGTCAGAGCCCTCCTGCGTGCCTCGGCCCCGCTCACCCCAGCCGAAGCCCTGAGGACTGGCCAGTTGGAGGTGAGCGGTGCTCCTGCCATCGTTTCAGCTTCTTCCCTCTGGCAGGGGTGCCCACGAGAGGGGAGCCTTGCCCAGCCTTCACTGGAGGTGGACTCAGGCCCCACCTTCCTTCCTAGGCTGGGCCAGTGGGTGGGCTCCGGCTCTCCTTCCTGGGGACACAGAAGGGGACCCTGGGGTTGGGGTGAGGGGATTCTGTGACACATTTGTAAGTAAAGCTCAGTGCTCCCTGCAGCCCCAGATTCCCACATGTGCCGGGTCTGTCCTGCCGATGCCCTCAGAGCCTTGGAGGTGCCCTGGCCTCAACCTGGCCCTCCTCATTTGGGGAAGGACGCCTCTTGACAGCGTGCGCTGGGTGGGGTGGATCTAGCACTGAGTGTGGCCCTTTTGGGGGTGAGGGTCCCCAAAGCAGGCTGGGGTCAAGGTCAGCATTAAAAGGCCCCCTCAGCAAGGGGCTTGGGGTCTCAGGTCAGCCCCTGTAGATGAGGCTGAAGCTGTGACAGTGGGGAGTGAATGAGCCCTTCCCCTCTTGACCCCTGACACCGGGGTCCAGTGATAAAGGGATAAAGTTCCTGGGTCCAGTGGCTCCTTTATTTCCATCTCAAGCCCAATCCTAGAAACCAGGGATGAGTCAGAGCCCCAGCAGGGACACCTGGGGAAACAAAAGACCAGGAGGGTTCAAGTGCTCACCGCTGCCCTCCTGAATTAGTAAGCAGCACCTGTCTTTCCCCCATATGTTGAATAATAGGAACTTTCTAATTTGTAGGATAAAAATGGAACAATTGGGGAACCTAGGCCCAGGGAAGGCATGTGCTTTTTCTGAGGTTTCTAGCTTAGAGGGGTGGAACTAGGGCTGTGGTCTGTGGCTCCCACCTGGATCTTGTGAAGCTGAGAAAACCTTTCCCCGTCAGTCACAACACATGTATTAGGATAAGTGAGGTTATGCCACAGCAACAAATTAATTCCCAGATTACAGTGGTCTGACATACTTATTTCTTGCTGACTTGCTCACACCACCTGTTCATCATGGGTCACAATGGGGCCACTATTTTGACATTGTCTTTCGGGGACCCAGGCCAATGGTGGCTCCACCGGTGGCTTCAGCCCAGAAATGACACAGGTCAGTTCTGCTTGTGGTACATTGGACAGAACTAGTTACGTGGAGTCAGGACATGAAGGGGTGCATGGTATACTGGGTGAGTGTTACTGTCCTCCACGTCATGACTTCACCAGCTCTATCCCTGCAAGACAGACACACAGACCTCCCAGGCCACTGGCAACAATAACAGGCAATGCAAACTCTCGCCTGAGTCTTCCCTCACTCCATCTGGAGTTCCAACCTCCAGTGCTTCCATAGACAGGCAGGTAAGGTGACTGGGAGTGGTGGGCACAGGGCTACCTGGCCATCACATATCCCTTCCAGAGACTTTCAAGTCCAAATGCTTCTGTGATCATGCATACTTGTCTGTGGGCACTTTGAGCAGCAGGTCATGGTTTGCCACTTGATTCCAGTACCTGAAGAAACGAAGTCTCTCCCACACGTAATTTTTTTAAATCAATTTTTTAAAAATTTATTTTCAGTTGTATAAAACGTAACATAACAGGAACTTCCCTGGTGGTCCGTGTGTGTGTGCTAAGTCACTTCAGTTGTGTCTGACTTTGCGACCCCATGGACTGTAGCCCACCAGGCTCCTCTGTCCTTGGGAATTCTCCAGGCAAGAATACTGGAGTGGGTTGCCATGCCCTCCTCCAGGGGATCTTCCCAACCTGGGGGTCAAACCCGCATCTCTTATGTCTCTTGCATTGGCAGACAGGTTCTTTACCACTAGCGCCACATGGGAAGCCCCTCTGGTGGTCTAGTGGATAAGAATCTACCTGTTAATACCGGGGTCATTGTTCAGTCCCTGCTCCTGGAAGATTCCACATGCCTTGGAGCAATTAAATCCATGTACCACAACTACTGAGCCTATACTCTAGAGCCTGGGAGCTGCAACTACTGAAGCTGGCCCACCATAGGGCCCACGCCATGCAACAAGAGAAGCCACTGCAAGGAGGAGCCTGAGCACCGCAACAAAGAGCAGCCCCCACTTGCCACAACTAGGGAAAGCTGCGTGCAGCAACAAAAATCTACTGCAGCCAAAAAAACCCAAGACACAGATTACCACTTTTATATGTGCAATTCAGTGGCCCTAACGTCCATTTACATTTTTGCAACTTTCAGCACCAACCATCCCCAGAATTTTTTTCTTCTTGCAAAACCAGAAAGAGAAAGCAAAAGTGTTAGTTGCTCAGTTGTGTCTGACTCTTTGTGACCCCATAGATTGTAGCCCGCCAGGCTCCTCTGTACATGGAATTCTCCAGGCAAGAATACTGGAGTGGGGTGCCATTCCCTTCTCCAGGGGATTTTCCTTACCCAGGGAATGAACCCAGGTCTCTGCACTGCAGGCAGATTCTCTATCATCTGAGTAGAGCTCCAATTAAACACTCATTCTCCATCCCCGCCTGCCAGCTTCTGGCAACCATCATTCTTTTGCATCTCTCTGAATTGACTAGGTTACCTCATCCAAGTGGAATCATGCAGTATTTGTCTTTTTGTTCCTTTTCTGGCTTCTTTGATTTAGCATAGTGTTCTTGAGGTTTATGTTGTAAAGTGTCAGAATTTCCTGCCTTTTTTAAGACTGCAAAGTATTTCATTGTATGGATGGACCACATCTTGTTTATCCATCCATCTACTGATGTACCTTTGAGTCACTTCCACCTTTTGTTATTGTATATAATGCTGTTGTGAACATGAGTGTGCAAATGTCTCTCTGAATCCCTGCTTTCAATTCTTTAGGGTATAAACCTAGAAGAGGAATTGCTGGATCGTAGGATCATTCTGTGTTTAATCTTTTGAGGACCTGCTATACTGTTTTCAGAGGAGCTGCTACACCATTTTCCATTCCCACTGGCAGTGCATAAGGGTTCCAGTTTCTCCACATCCTAACAGTTATTTTCTGCCTTTTTTTTTTTTTTTTATAATAGCCATCCCAATGGGTGTGATGTATCTTGTTTATTGTAGTTTTGATCGCATTTCCCTGATGATGGTTAGTGATGGTGAGCTTAGAGGCCATTTGTCTATCTTATTTGGAGAAATGCCTATTTAAGTCCTTTGCCCAGTTTTGAGTTGGATTGGTTTTTTTGTTGTTGTTCTTGTTTTCCCACATGTGATTTTAATTCAAGAAAGCCTGTGGGACTTCCATGGTGGTGGAGAATCCACTTTGGTCGGGGAACTAAGATCCCACATGCCAAGGGCTAACCAAGCCCAACAACTGCAACTGCTGAGCCTGAAGGGTGCAATGAAAAGATTCTGCATGATGCAATAAAGATCCTGTGTGCCACAACTAAGACCCAACGCAGCCAAATAAATAAGCAAATCATAATTAAAAAAAAAATTAAGCACACGCTTAGACATATATGCCACCTAGTGAAACCCAGAGTTAGACATTAGAGTGAGGCAAGTAAGATACTCATCTGGTGCAAAAGTAAGAAAGGGCCAGAAAATTTAGTAATCAAAATAAATCATATTTAAAAAGAATAGAGAGCCTGTGGGAGTCAGTGGTTTTGTTAGAAATACTTTGGCCGGAGGGAGAAGAGAATCTGGAAACCTTCTGTCAAACAGAATGACAACATAGACAGCTGAAATCACCTTCTAAGTTTAGCCAACCCAGAAGAGCAACAGCTTGAATGAGACAGAAATATTTCTCTCCCATAAAAGTCCAGACTGCAATGCTAGGCCGTTAAGTCATCAGGGCCAGTGGTTTCTCTGGAAGGACCATTCCTTTGAACATTTAGAAGGTTTCTGGCTTCTGTCTTGCCCACGAAGCCGCTCCAGATCAACTCTGAATGAGCAGGCTGGGGAACAGGCTTTTTCAAACCTGAGGGACCCCAAAGATGAAGATCACAGGGAGAGAGGCCCTGCACAGAGCATCACGTCTCCAACTCTGCCTCACTCACCTGCACCCCACCACAGTCACTTCTGTCCTCCCAGGAACAGGCAAGCCATTCCTGATTCTTCCAGGCTGTCCCTCCCTCCCTAGGGGATGTCCAGATCCCTTCTTGTCCCCCTTCCTCCACCCCTGCCAGGTGTGCATCTCAGCTGGAGAGTCTCTTCTTTCACGAGGGCCTTCCCTGAACCCCCGGACCCCCAGATGCATCCGCCCCATCATACACTGTGCTTCCCTGTACTCCTCCATCCCAGCCCTTGTGTGTTTTCCTTTTTTTAATTTTTTTTGGCCATGCTGTGATGTACAGCATGCAGGATTTTAGTTCCCCGACTGGGGATCGAAGTCATGCCCCCTGCCATGGAAGCATGGAGTCCTAACCCCTGGACTGCCAAGGAAGTCCCCTTTATATGTTATTAAATTACTACCCATGAGGTTCATTGCTTGTGTCTCCCTCTCCCCTGCTAGAATTTAAGCAGAGGTGGTATTTTCCTCTTAGTTGGAACTTTTTTTTTCCCTCCTGTTTTCTCAAAGCTAGTGACTAAACTGTATTTCAGGACCTGGCTTTTCCCTCTAGCCTGATCTCCCATTTACATCATGAAGGTGACGGGAGAGGAGAGGAGTTGTGTACTCAGTTGTGTCTGATTCTTTGTGACCCCATGGACTGTAGCTGCCAGGATCCTCTGTCCATGGGATTTCCCAGGCAGGGGTACTGGAGTGGGTTTCCATTTCCTTCTCCAGGGGATCTTCCTGACCCAGGAATCAAACCCAGGTGTCCTGGATTGGCAGGCAGATTCTTTACCACTGAACCACATGGAAAGTCCCTAAAGGCAATGGGAAGGATGCTTTCATTTCTCCAAACCAAAGGACTCTTGTGGTTGGACACCTTACATGCTTAATAATAGTGTCATTGTTTGTTGGCATAAATCCCAAAGGAAAAAAGCAAGATCATCTTTTCTGTTGTTGTTTAGTTGCTCAGTCATGTCCAACTCTTTGTGACCCCATGGACTGCAGCACGCC